GCTTTAGAATAAAGCTTCCTCAAGTGATCCCACATTGCAGCAGCAGTATCAAAACCCCTCAAGCTAAGGGCAATGCCGGGATCGACAGAGCCAAGGAGAGAGGCCATAACCTGGGCAGTATACATAGCCCAATCCTCCTTTTCTTTTGACGTGGCTGTCTCGGCAGGCGCAGCTGACGTGCCGTCAAGAACAGAAAAAAGGCGTCGACCTTGAACATGAAGGCCAAATTGAAGTTCCCATAAAGCATAATTTTTACCATTCAAGCGGACCGCAATCACATCATTCTTTGTCGAGCCGTCCATGATCGCACTCACTGCAGAAATACCCAATCCAATATCACAGCAAACCTCACCAAACCAAGAACCCACAAATCACGTAGCTGAGATCCAAAGATGAGCAGCCCCGATCACGGAACAGAAAACCACGAAGCAAAACCCAGCAACCCTTTAAACACGAGCAAATCACGAGAAGAAGACGGGAGGCTCTGATACCATGTCAATCAATACGAGAAAAGAGAGAACACGAGACACGAGTTTACGTGGTTTCCCCAACGTGATCGTTGGGACTAGTCCACGGCACAACGGCAGAGTACGTTCTTATTTTCTGTGTTATTTTCTGTACATCATGACCTCTCAACACTTATATACGGCCATAGCTACTAACCCTAAACCCGGACAATTACAATATGGTACCCATACTTCTAACAGATTTTCCTCACAAAATTCTTCAATTCTCTATATTGATTAGAATGATATATCCATATATTAGTGTTAGATAAAATATTTATAGAAACACAATATATAGATCCAACGTCATTTTTTATCGTCGAGTATCAACTTATTGAACAAGAGCAGATCCAAACTTCTTCACAGTTTCAACCATATAAAGAGCGCACCGTCGAAGTGTTCTACTCAAAACACGACTTCACTATAGAAAGAAACGTGATCACAACAAAAAGATTCACGAACGTTTCGATCGAAATATCTCAACAGAAATCGTAGGTCTCGTACCGAACACAACAGTCCCGGCTCGAGCCCTGAGCCCCGACCCCGTCGGGGCAGTTGGCACGTATGATTTGGGTGGTGTTCCCCACGCAATTCCGGCATTCTTCGACCTCGATGCTACTCTTACAACCCACGAAGACGAAGATGTCGGTTCCGCTGCTGTCTTGACCGTAGCCGCCAGTACTGCCGTCGAAAGTGCCCATAGCGCAGTCATCCTTGTAGACCTTGGGCAGTCGGTGCAGCATATCCTTGATGAAGTCGAGCACCTCAACCTGCACGTTCTTCGATGGATTATTGCCTGCAGGCAGCTTCGTCTGGTTCCAAGTATAGCTGATTTGTCCCTCTGGCCCGTGAATGCACACCAGTTCTTTTTTATCGACATAGCTTGACACAAACGCAGCGGCAAGGAACAAGATGGTCGTAATAGTGATTGCAACGGGAAGTCGCCGCACCAGAAATAATGCTGTCGATGACGCCATTTCTTCTTCTTCTTCTTTTGGTGGCATGAATGTTGTGCTTGACGAATCTATGTATATATATTGCATGGGAAACGGGTATATACACTTATAAAAATGGCGATAGACATTGAAAAGGATGGGAGGGGATAATGGAAGGAAAACCCGAGGGTTTTGGTTTGTCTACAAACTACAATATTGGGTAAGATTTACGTGACTTCTTCTTCTTTCCACTGTTGTTTTGTTAGTGTTGTCTTGATCGTCGATGTTAACCCGTGTTTATTCGTTTTGAGATAGGCTGTAGCCAGATCCATATTAGTTGGGAATGGTGATTCTACTTGTAATCGTGAGTATTCGATCATTTTGGGTTAAATCGACGAGGAATTTTATATTTTGTATAGAGTGGGAGTAAGACGGGGAGGATGAATTCAGATTTCTCTGTCCTAATTTTATTTTATATTCATACTGTTGGGATTTTTAATGATGTGAATGGAAATGAAAGGGAATGAGTCAAGAGAAACTCTTGAAATACCATATTGGTTATATATGGAAATGAGACCTTGGATTCGGTCAATTGATTTGATTAAATCTTTTGATAATTGATCAAATTGGTTTGTGTCCCCAACCGTACCAAATTGATTTGAACCGAACCGATGTGGTGGTTGGAGTGAACCAACCGGTCCAACTATCATTGGCCGAACCGATGCAATGATTCATAATTTTAAAGCCAACCAATGCGTTGGTTGGGGTGTAACCACCCACCCGAAGGGTCACATCCCTTCACACACACCCCTTTATTTTCTATAAATAGCACCAACCCCCTCTATTTTCATACGTGAGTTTTCCTAAAAGAATTTTCTGCCAAAAGAAATAAAAATAGTTTTCTTCTTCATTTCATTTTTCCTCTCTACAAACACATAAAAAAAAAACAGAGTCGTGTGACTTCTCGCCGTTCGTTGCGTTTCATGATTTTTGGGGTTTCAAGTAGGGGTGGCTATATGGTCCGGTCCGGTTAAATTGGCCTGAATTGATCCGTTCCCGGTACGGTCTTTTCGGGAATATAAGGACCAAAGATTGGATTGAATACAGTTTGGCCTTGATCCGGTCCGGTCCCAATTTGGTCTTGATTTTAGATTGATCTTGTGGGGATTTGAGTGGCCTAAGGCCTCAAAGGCTGAGGAGTTGGTTAAGTTTGGGGTGTTGGGGTATCTTATCCGGTCTTTATCCGATTTTCGATCCGATCCCAAACGGTTTTTTACCACAAATCTAAACCCGAATATGAGATTGGATTGTTTGCTATCCCATCCCGGTCTCGGTCCGGGTTATACGGTCCAGTTTCGGGTAAAACCAAACAGTCCGGACCAAATAGCTAGCCCTATTTTCAAGTACCAGTACGCTAGAAAAGGTACGTCCGTTCTATCCTGGGAGGAATAGTTCCAACAACCTTAGGTACCGTAGAGAGGAACTAAATTCCTTAAAGAGAAATAGTGAATTCTATTGGCTAGGACAGTGTCGTGATTTCTTCTTCTTAAATTTTTGGCATTTTGATTTGTTTACATGAATAATTTCCACAACACATACTTTCACATTCAATCTTATTTCTTATACTACATACCATTGATGGTGTGTTCATTTCTCACATTGTGAATGCTGTCGTGGAACGAACAATGCCATATGATCTTCTCTCTTTCCCAATTCCTTGCAGAGAGGAAAAGTTTCTGTCAAGAATGGTTTTTTAACTTGATGGTTTCGTTTAATTAAATTCTTGTTTTGGCTTATGGAACTTAATTTCGAATAAATAAATTTTGATTATTTGCTTCACGTGGCAGCCATATCAGCAACTGGGTTATTAACACTTAAATGAGTTGATCGTTAATACTAACTGTCAAACTTAGAATTAAGCCAAAGTTGTCCATTATTTTCACAGTTGGAGCCATTTGTATCTTTATTGTAAGTTAGGGTCAAAATTGTCTATTTATACAAAATTGGGGCCATATTAGGATATTTATCCTATATTTTTATATGAGATAATCATTTATTGCATGAATGATTTGTTTTTCTATTAGGAGAGGTGATTGAAGCTTACTATTTAACTTGATTAAATGAGTGTCAAGTGATATTTGAATAAGAGCAAGACCACAGTCCTCTTCACACAATTAGGGCTGGCAAATCGGTTGTCGATTACCAGTTAACCGATAACCAATGCGAACTAGACATGGAGGGCGGTCAGTTCGGTTATAATCGAAAATCGAAGATTCGGTTATCGTTTAACCGAACCATCCCCATTCGTCTACCGACCACCGACCGAGCATCCCCTATCGGTTAACCGACCACCGACCGGTCTGTTAGCGGTTAGTTATTCGGTTAGCCGAGATAACCGAATTTTTGTTGTGCGGTATCGTTTCGGATGGTTGGGAAGGGGTTTTGTTTAGCCAGCTAGGGTCGTTTATCGGTTAGTATTAGGATCGTTTAAACTGTGCGGTGTCGTTTCGGATGGTTGGGAAGACCGCAGGCCCTCCTCAACCATCCGAAAACTGACCGAAAGCCATTCGCATCGGTTATAAACGTCGGTTAACCGGTAACCGACAACCGATTTGCCATACTATATAAAGAGAGGATCTTCGAAGCGCTTTTACTAATTAAATCCAACGTACTCCACACGTCTTTGCCAAAAAAAACTACAACATACACACGTAAATTAACAACGACTTCACTATCGAAAGAAATGGGACAAATACAACACACACAAAAAAAGCGCAAGCGTTTTCGATACGGTATCTCAGCAGAACTTTCTTTTTTTCTTTTATGAAAGTGAAAAAATTTATTGCAATCAAGGGAATACACTAATCCTCTACCTCAAAACACAGACAAACTGCTGCTACACACAATGTACGTAGCTAGGGCTCGAAGACCACCCTCAAATCAAAGCTCGCAAAACTTGTACGTCTCGTACCGAACACAACATTTCTTTGCCACGGCCTGAGCCCCGACCCCGTCGGGGCACTTGTCGCGTATGACGGCGGTCGCCTTCCCCACGCAATCCTGGCACTCCTCGGACGGGATTCCGGCCGTGCAACCCACGAAGAGGTAGATGTCACTGCCGTCGAAATTCTTCAGAGTGCAGAGATCCACGAAGTGACGGGGCAGATTGTCCATCCTATCCGCCACGTCAGCCAGGACTTGATCCTGCACGTTCGCACCAGGCAATCTCGTCTCGTTCCAAGCGTAGTTGAGAAGCTGGCTGCCGTCTGGTCCAGCAGGAATGCACAATTTATCTTTATTGTAAGTATAACTTACAGCAATCCCAGTGGCAAAGAAGATTGTCGTAGTTATAGTGATTATACGGAGAAGGCGCCCCAGAATTATTGCTGTTGATAGCGCCATTTCTTCTTCTTCTTCTGGTGGTGGTGGTATGAATATTGTGCATACATACGTGTAGAAATAAAGTCGCTTGGCCGCGGCATCAGCAATGGCGATAGACGTTGCGAAGCATGGGATAATGGAGCGGAAAGACCGAGGGTTTGGTTGCCAACAAATATAGGTAAGACTTACGTGACATGTTCTTCTTTCCACTGTTGTTTTTGGTTAGTGTTGTCTTGATCGTCGATGTTATACCGAGTTGATTCGTTTTTACATACGCTGTAGTCATTCCATATTAGTTGGGAATGGAGATTCTACCGGTAATCTACTAGCCAAATGTCTCTTTTATTGTGAGAAAACGACAGTTCCCTATCGAAGGGTTGTGTCATTTCAAATCCAAAGGCGCGCAAACATCAGATTAATAAATCAAATTAAATTTGCACATTGTTTCCAAAACTCACTTTTTATTTTACTCAACAAAATAAAGAAGCAAGTTAGGCTATAAACCACTTGCACTTTTCTTCTCCCACCAATGCGATATTTTCCTTTTTATTGTTGACTACTCTAACAGGTAATCGTGAGTATTTGATCCTCTTGAGCTAAATCAATGAGGAAAATATTTTGTATTGCGTTGTGCTTTTTTCCCGATCCCTTGTGGATCTTTCGTTCTAAAATCTTCCGAGATGGTTTCTGCCCTCTCCCTCTCGGTTTGAGGAGGATTTTGCTCACTACAAATCTGGCTTCCCCATATTTGTGTGGGTGACAGAGGGAGTTGTGCTTTATGACTTGTTTCTCACTCTTCTACCTATCCCCACACGTTTCACCCATCACTAGGGTCAGCGGCGGAGGGAGAATGTAAGAGGGTGGATCCGGGGTTTTGAAGAAAAATGGTTAACTTATGTACAATAGTTAATTGATATTGATAATTATCGAACATTTAATTAATTAAGAATAGTATATTGAAAGATTTTGTGTTCGGAATTGGGCGACCTCATATCTTAAGCAAATGGAGGGAGTGTGCTAGTAAATGATATAAGACATATTATTGAATCGCAACAGCTCGACTTATTGATATTAAACGGTTCTTGACGATAGAATATCATTCGAAAGCGAACGATTAATTAACAAAATTATGAATCATTGTTTGGTGTAAGATTCATTATTAAACTTTTCTTCGACAAATTGAGTTATTGATACTAACTGTTCTTGACAAAGAACATCATTAGAAAGAGAATGACTAACTAAATCATTGATAATTGTTTTGTACATAAAGTAATATTATTGATAGTTTTGACTATAACGTATTTTAATTTACTAAAAATTTTGGGCAATGTCTATTTTTTACCCAAACCTTTTTCAGATTCTTTTATTTTAACCAAACCCAAAAATTTTCAATATAAGATTATATCATGAATTATTAGAAAAGTTTACAAAAAGTATTTTATCATGTGTATTTTTATTCTTAAGTGGACCCACCTTAAATGAAATCCTGACTACGGGTGATTGGGAGATGTAATGACTTGATGTCTGGAGGGCATGCTGATTCGAGGAGTGAGGGCTCAAAAAGCTTAAAACAGGATGCTAAGACTAATTTCAACCATAAAGCAAAATTTGGCTCTCCAAATAGCCAAATTTGGCTTTTTAGCTCCCCCAAACCTCATTTTCACCCCAACCATACAAAAAGCTAAATTTAGCTTTTCACTCTTATTTTTCAATTTATTTCAATAAACCATACTTATTCGACCTCTAATTTTTATATTTCATATAATTTTTATAGTTTGTTAATACTTTTGAAACAAAATTTTGGATGTAGTTTTCTCTAAATTTCGAGACAAATAAAGTTTCGGAAAATTAGTCGTTAATTTGTTACTGTTAACTTCGGGACCAACGAGAAAATACCAATTAAACATACAACATTCCATATCTTCTTTCAAACAATTAAATAGACAACATACACAATCAACCAAGGACAAAATACCACACAAAAAAGCAAAAAAAAAAAAAGAAAAACAAAACCAATATGAGAGCCTTACCGACGCGCGTGTGCGGCCCACTCCCACAACGCGGTGTGTGGCTCGCCCCAGCAACGGGTCCACCACTCCAGCCAAATTTGGCTTTTCCATCCAATTGAAAGCTAAATTTGGCTCCCAATTCTTTAATACTCATTTTTAGCTCCCAAAATTATGTGGGTTGGAGCAACAAAAAAGAGCTAAAAATGTGTAAATGACTTTTTAGCTCTAGGGTTGGAGTTAGTCTAATAGCTACAATGAGATTATTGGAAAATTAGAATTCAGTGAAAATTATTGTGTATTATTACTTGAAATCACGTAGGATTTATATAGAGTACAATGATAGATTTCTATAATAACCCAACACTAATATGGAAAACACTTAACTTCGATAAGGAATATAACTTTGCCCAATTACATAATAATACTCGCATTATAACATAATATTACTGGTACAACTCATAGTCTAATACGCTCCCCAAATTTATGAAAATTACTTTGAAAACCGAAACAAAAACTAACACGAGAAGAAAAAAAAGATCTATGACTACCACACACGGATGTAACTGCAACTAATTCCAAACTTCGCTCAGATGCCGAAGAAAACCACGCCCCACAAAAATATTGACGATGATGATGAACTGGATGTAAAAAGATCTCTTGTCAAAACTGTCTTTGTCATTCGAAACAGAACGGGTAAGTCTCGTATCGAACACAACAGTTCCCCGTCGCGGCCTGAGCCCCGACCGCATCAGGGCAGTTGGCACGTACGGTCTCGGTCGCGTTCCCCACGCAAACCCGGCAGTCCTCGTCTTGCATGCCAAACTTACAACCCACGAAGACGAAGATGTCTGTTCCGTATTGGTCGTGACCGTCGCCACTGCCGTCGAAAGTTCCCCCAGTGCACACATCCACGAAGCCCTGGGAAACATCGTCCAGCCTGTCCTCCATGAACTTCAGCACCTCAACCTGCACGTTCGTACCAGCCAATCTCGTCTCGTTCCAAGCGTAGTCGAAATGACTCTCTGGCCCTGGAATGCACACTCTATCTTTTTTGTCAGGATAGCTTACGACAAACCCGGTGGCAAACAAGATGGCCGTGAAGCTAATTATCACGAGAAGTCGTCGCACCGGAAATGCTGTTGATGGCGCCATTTCTTCTTCTTTTTTTAGTGATAAGAATGAATATTGCGCTTGGGGAATGGGTATATATACATATATAGAAAGAAAGCCGCTTGGCAGTGGCATCAGCAATGGCGATAGACGTTGAGAAGGATGCGACGGGAATATTAGTGGTGAGACTTACGTGAATGGTTCTTCTTTCCACTTTTGTTGTGTGCTGGGGTTTGTCTGGATTGTTATCTCGGGTACCAATTAAATTTGAGAATCGCGGTATACATACCACTTAAGTTTGAATAGGACGACGGGTACCATTAAAGTTGCCGAAATGTGCATCCGTCTACTTTCCATCCAACCTAAACTTTTAATTACTTTATGTACAAACAAGAGTGGCAACTGGCAAGACAAAAAATATGATCGAGGATACCATGTAAAACTTTCGTGTTCTGTGTTCGTCTCCATTCCGCATCATCAAATTCTACATGATATCAGAGCAAACCTCGATCCGCGTTATGGTTTGATTCGTTGCGTCTACATCTCCGCTGGTATTCTTTTTGTCTTGCGGTTCATCACATGTCCGACGAAGAAGCAAACTATGTTCACAGCTCGGCTGCTCTTCTTGGTCATGTTCGTCGTTGGGGTCGCCGCCTCCGATGGCTGGTTTGGCGTGGGCCATAAAAAAAAAGGTGTTCTTCAAGAGGCCCGATCCGTTGAGCGATATCCCCTCGCCAGTTCGCCATCATCTTCGTCTGTAGTGATTTTTTCACGTGACACGCCTGCACGTTGTCTCCAGTCGCCCTTGCTCACGTCAACACTTGCCGCCGCGTCTCCATCTGTGCCTACGTCAACCCGTGGTTCATAGTCGCTGGCCACATCGCTAGTTTAGTCTTTTGGCTTCCGCGCGCAGCTTGTCCACTCGTCACTGATTGATACATTCAATTGGACAAATATTGGGCCAAGTTCGAATATTGGTTGCTTTGGCTTGTGCCAAAAAGGTCATCGAATCACCAAAGGTCAGGCAGCCATCGCTGTCATCTAATTCACGGGCGCCGTGACAGAAATGTAATCCGAGACTGATCAGGATTGCAGAGGAAGAAGAAGATTCGAACAGAGTCCAAAGGAGGAGAAACGTTTCTGTTATGGAGACGTTTCCTAGAATAGGCTGTAAACTCTAGAGGTGCTGCGACACCGTTTCATTTAGAGTCATTAGCCGTTAAGTACTGTTTAATCTGTTTGAACATAGCCAACGTAAGTGAGACACGTGGAAGTTATCTGTAATTCTAATTGCAGAGAATCAATACAAAAGACAGAGCAGCGAGATAGCTGCCTGTAAATTTCTTGCACATCTCATTCTAAACCTAGAAACTTCTCATGGTATCAGAGCGGCCGTTCTAGGCCAAGTTCCGCGACGGGATGGCTGGGCACGAAGCATCGCCGTTCACCGGCGAGACACAGAGTGCGACCGGCGTCTTCAACACATCTGGTGTTCAAATGGGATCTAATGGTGGCGATCAATCTGGCAACAGCAGCATCATCACTTTTGGTAACCCACTTTACTTGAACCCAAATGAAAATTTCACACAACCCCTCGTTTCTGAGGCACTCGATGGGAACAACTACTCCATGTGGAGTAGATCCATGAAGAAAGCTTTGAAGATGAAGCACAAGCTGGGTTTCATCGATGGGTCCATGGCGATTCCAGCCAGAAACGATCCAAGCTATTTCTTATGGGATAGTTGCAACATTGCAGTTGTACCTTGGATTTTGAACTCTTTAAAGAAGGATATAAAGAGATCTGTTATGAGTCATGAAAATGATAAAACTCTGTGGGATGAACTTCATCGTAGGTTTGGTCAGCTAAATGCTAATAGGTTGACAAACTTAGAGGATGAAATCCACAGGTGTAAGCAAGGAACTATGACTATCACCCAATACTACACCTTGATCAAAGGATTATGGGATGAGTCTACAGAATTTAGTCCTGTTGTGGAGTGTAACTGCATCCCAGGAAATCCCAATCCATGTACTGCCGTGACTGCTTACAACAGGAAACAGGAAACTGATTACTTAATCAGGTTTCTAC